CTGCTATAATATTTGTTTAATCTCTCTCTCTCTCTCTCTCTCTCTCTCTCTCTCTCTCTCTCTCTCTCTCTCTCTCTCTCTCTCTCTCTCTCTCTCTCTCTCTCTCTCTCTCTCTCTCTCTCTCTCTCTCTCTATCACACACACACACACACACATATATATATATATATATATATATATATATATATATATATATATATATATATATATATATATATATATATATATTATTTGTTTGTGTATGTGAGAGATTAAAAAATATATATGTACACATGCGTATATAAATATACACATATGCATACAATCGGTAAGCATTTGTTGGTATTTTTATGGAAGAAACTTTTTTATGTTGGTAAGTTTGACTAATACCTGATAATGCCCACATATCGTTTTACAGAAAATTGATATCCTCCCTACCGTCTATATAGAAATGTATGTTGGCACAAAGTTTAACATATCGTGGCCAATATTATCTTTGTCCCCATGCTTTATTTTTTCTTTCAAAAATCACCAAATTTCACAGCAATAAAACAACAATAGACATACTAAATAAATCATACATTATGTTCACTGGACATTGTTTTTAGAATGACTCAAAATTACGTTCATTGCTTTGACACCATTGCCAGAAATAGTATCTAGTGTAGCTCATCAAAACGAACCTTAGTCCTAAAATAATCATAATCATTCACAATGTCTATGAACACATGTCCGTACTTAAACAAACACATTTCTTAGTATTGCTTTATATTGTTTTATCAATATTTACAAATATATTCCATGTATACAGAATTTATGTAACTTATCTAGGGATGCTTGTAGATCGTCCGATGTCCCTGAAATATCAATTTATCATCAGCAAACAGTCAAACACACAAAGACATTTCTTCTAAAGTGATACCAGCCTGTATATTAGATTGCAATGCAGCTTCCAGATCATAAATATAAAAAGAAAACAATAATGGAGAAATGCTTTCTCCTTTTCAGCCCAAATAAACAATCAAAATAGTTTGAGTGCCAGTTTAAGTGCTTTTGCACATGACTGCACTGAACTGTAAAAATATTTTTATTATCGTTAACATTTTTTCCAGTCACTACAAATTTTACTATTTTATGCCGTAAACGTTCTCTTGACCATAATCGAATGCTTATTAAAAATCAATAAAGCTCGAAAAGCGTTTTTTTTTTTCATCTAGTATTTTTTGAATACATACTTTTAATATAAAAATGACGTTTACTGTAATATTATTCTTCCTAAAACAGAATTGTGAATCGTTAATAAAATCATATTTAATGGCCCAACAAGAGAACCTTTAAAATAATATGCTCGTGAAAACGTTTTCTATACAACAAAGAAATGTTATTCCTTTATAATTATTTGCATGGAATGGATCGCATTTTTTAAATCGATATAATTAAACAATTGCTCCAATCTGCACGATAGATGTCCCTGCTAAAACTAAATTAAAACGTTTTAGCGTACAATGCAATAAAAATGAAAGTGACTCAATAATGTATTCATTTAAAACTGTTTGAGACCTTTGTTTATTATTGTTCAAATTTTTATAGCTGAGCTAAGTTCTTAGATCGTAATTTGAGCAGCCAACTCGGGAAATTTCGGTTCTCTTAGATACCCAGTTATTCCACTGCCTTGCAAGATTATGCACTGCTCTATCTGATCAGTACTATTGTATAATGAGGCTCTTGCAAATTTTTAAAATGATTAAAAGCATTACAATCATTCGAATAATTTATTTCAGACCTTTAGAAGGATTAAAAGAACTTATGTGGATTTCCGTTCTTAAATCAGCCAATATTTGCCTTTTTGATCTATGGTAAATAAATATTAAACGTTTGGTGGAAGCTTTAGTATTGTTATCTTTTATTCTGCAATTACTTCTGTTTACCTCGAATTTTAAGGAATTCTAATTAATCAAGGAAATTTCGTATATGCTCATTTTGTTTTTCTCTGCATTCACCAGTAAGCCAAATAGCTTTATCTTTAATATGAATATTACATTTTCAATTCTGAAAATGCGCCGTTTTTTCAAAATATCGATTTACTTTTTGTGATAATAGGCATCAATGCTTCAACTTTTCCATGGACTTTGTTCTGTTTGCTAGACCATTTGTACAACAACAAAATCACAATTTGCTTTAAACAACACTTATAATGCCTACAATCAAGCCAAAGGTCAACCAAATGTGAGAACAAAATTAGGCATCGATTACATCTACGTGTACTCGCCCGGAAGTAATAATTGTAATTGAAATCCTATCAGGTCAACCTATTTATCACCATTTATCAACCTGTTTATCAGGTCAACCTATTTATCACCAATTTTATCTAGTCTCTTATATCTGGATGCCACACATATATGTATTTTAATTTTACCACCCCCTCAATTTTTTTTTCATGGCAAACAAAGAAAGGAAGTAGATTTTATGTTCAGCAAGGTGCAATGCTTGGACCATGTACTTTTGAAACCTAAAAATACATATTTTCATATCTGCTTTAATTATACAAAATTTGCATTGCATAGCAATTAAAACTTATTTATAAAGAAGGGAATTGCTACCAAAAATATGCTTGAAATAGAAAACATTGATAGATTAAATTTTAATATAAAATGTTAAACATAGAAATTTCATTTTCGTACAGAATTTTGAACAATAAAACAGCAACATTTTAGACAAATAAGTTGACCAATGAATTATATGTTAGGTAAGTGGTAGCTTCGGTCTGTGCAACATATATGTCCGGATGTGATTTTTGAGGCAAATTAAAATATGCCTGTTTTTTAATGTATTTAGGGGCCCAAACAAAAGAAACAACGGCAAGTGATATTTTCAATATTTATTGTATCAGGGACTTAGCTCTTAGATAACAAAAACTATAATTACCTATAACTATCGAACCATATCATGTTTTATAGCAGAAATGCAATGTGTTTCTGTCTCAATACAGTAAAAGGTGTCCCTTTAATATGGAACTAAAGCTTAAAGCAGGGTCTGTATCACAAACCAGTGGGTCTTGATCTCTCTTATGAGGACTTAAATCAGTTTATTCGAGTTATTACATCCCAGCTTTGTATTATGGTCTTGTCCTGGATGACTTGTTCGGGTTTGAATGAGGCCTTCGTATCGCCGCCTGATTGCCTGGGGCATTTAAGCTAGTCCAACTCCTCAGTCATCTTTCAAACTACCAGTTCAGGCCTAAAAAATAAAATTTAACACATGTTTATTTAATCTCACTGAAAATATAAATAATAGGTAAATAAAGTTAAAAGATCTAGACAGAGATTTTAAAACGACATTCAGTTTGTAAGCACATGAGAAAAGTTATACTTTCCAAAGTTACACTCAGAAATGTATATTAAAGCAATTATTAGTCGTTTTCACAAAGGTCAAGATATAGAACACAATGGCCCTAAATGCAACTCACTTAAGCAATAGCCGACATTTTAATTCCCTCCAAAAATCAATTTCTGACCCCAGAACAAAAATCACTGTGATTCATACTTCTTATCGCGATACACTTGCGGGTGATATTCCTGAGAAATACAAGAATATACAGACACATCCGTGTAAAGAAACTATCCCACCCAACAAACATAACTTTCCACAGAATTATTCAGTCAGTAAGAGGTTAGCTAATTAATGAGTAAGAACAACGGTCATAAAGTTGAAGGTAATATGTGATTATGAGGTTTTATTACTTGTGCAGTAATTAGTAAATAACAGCGCACGGGTTGCTTGAAAGGCAAATTATTAGTTTATAAGATATTACCAGAAGTAAGCTAATTAAATATGGAAATATCATCATTGGATATTTCAAGTAAGTACAGCCTTGACGTGCCCTGCAGATCAACTATAGGTACGAGTATGTACAACTATAGGTACGATTAGATTCATTATTGGATATTTCAAGTAAGTACAGCCTTGACGTGCCCTGCAGATCAACTATAGGTACGAGTATGTACAACTATAGGTACGATTAGATTCATTATTGAATATTTCAAGTAAGTACAGCCTTGATGTGCCCTGCAGATCAACTATAGGTACGAGTATATAGAACTACAGGTACGATTAGATGCAACTATAGGTACAATTAGGTACAAGTATACGTAAAATTAAGGACAACAATAAGTACAATTAGGAACATTATGCGTACAATTAGGTGCAACAAAAGGTACAATTAAGTACAACTAAAGTTACAATTAAGTACAATTTTATGAACTGGGTTCACCTATACGTTCGATTAGTACAATTATATGTACGATTAGGCACAACCATGTGTACAATTAGGTACACTTGTAAGTACAATTAGGTACAACTATAGGTACAATTAGGTAACATATAATAGACTGAAATGATCTTGTTTTGGGTTTGACGCTAATTTTTAATGCTTGATGAAAACTAAACATGGCAACTATTGTAAGTAGGGGGAAAAGATGCTGGGAAAGCCACTGTAAGAATCAACGGCAAGCATTCTCACCTACCTATACTGGCCAAGCCCCAGACTCAAACCCATGTTGACAGAGATGAGATGGCAGTGCTCAATAAAGGCGAGCGCTTTAGACCACAGCCACCCAGGGCCACGGAACCAATTCTGATCTGAATAAGGACTGATAGTTTTTCATCCAAGACATTTGCACAATGTTCATTTTAATGTTTCATTGATCTGTTGGAATATTTGTGGTGGTTTTTTTTTTATTCCAGCATATCATATTTGCTAAATGATGTAAAATGGGATCGTGGTACAAGTTCTCACAAGATAAGCCACTCATATATAATAATAGTTATACAAATTAATCAAACATGACAAGCGGCAGGCGAAAAGAAAACACAACAACATATTAGGTGTGCTGATAATTAAAGGATAAATTTACGATTAAAAGAAAAAAAGGAGAGACATCCAGGGCAAAAAATAACAATGATGTTACCAGACATCAGAAGAAATTGCATTTAGAATGCAACGAACAACTGCCTCGCTTGGCGATCCGGTGGCATAGTGGTTAGAGCGTCCGCCTCAAATGCGGGAGGTCGTGGGTTCGATCCCCGGTCGAGTCATACAAAAAACTTAAAAAATTGTACTAACAGCTGCTTCGCTTGACGCTCGGCATTAAGAGGTTAGTGTTAGGACTGGTAGGCCTGGTGTCAGGATAATGTGACTAGCTGGGACATCATACTACATGTCTGCGGCATGATGCCCCAGTGCTAAACAACACTATAAACTGCCACACTGCAGACATCGTAGCGATATGACTGAAAAATTGTTAAAAGTTACGTTAAGAAAAATCTATATCACGCCCACTGTTAGTTGCAATCTCAAGCAAAATTTAAAAATTAACAAAAATAAAAGAATTATGTAGTTAGTGTAAGACCTAAGTCATTTAGTTGTTTTCCTCTAGCCAAGTTTATAAGTCCAACAAAAGTACATTTATTCCCACTTGTTGCATTTATTTTACGGTATAAAATCGCTTACTTATGTTGCATTCTTCATCTCATTAAGTACCATGCAACTATGTTTATAATCAACTAGTTTGAATCACAGAATTAGATCTGTCTTAATAATACATAACGCCATCATATGCCATTAAGTCTATTATAAATATTTCCAATAACCTACAGTAACCCAGTAACCAAATCAATTGAAGAAAAATTGACAATGAGGCTATAAAACGTGAATAAAATACACAAAAAATGACAATGAGGCTATGAAACGTGAGTAGATATTAAATATTATCAATAGCCTACAGGAACCAAATCAACTAAAGAAAAATTGACAATGAGGCTATGCAACGTGAGTAGAAATACACAAAAAATGATAATTAGGCCATGAAACGTGAGTAGATATACAAAAATGATAACGAGGCTATGAAACCAGAGTAGAAATACCAAAAATGATAAAGAGGCTATAAAGCTGAAGCGTGTGTAGAAATACAAAAAATTTATAATGAGGCCGTAAAAGGCGAGTACAAATGCAAAATAATTTATATATGACGCCGTTCTAATTCAAACTCACTCATGACCGTTGTCAATAGTTAATTTTTAAATTGGTGATATTTTTCAGTTAGAAGTTTTATTTTAATATTAAATTCTTCTGAGAAAACAAAAATCAAAATATGCATTGTTAAACACTTTGTGTTCATTATTTGCATGAGTGTGGGAAGTTTGAGGTTGGTGGCTTCAGATGGATTAGGGAAAAACGTGTTAAAGGTCATTACCCGCCTTCCCCTTGTAAGTACAACAAACAGCTCTCACTTTATAATAATTTACCCCATAAATTCTCTACATTGGATTTTCACTGCTAAATTTTCCAAATTAATCAAAATCCAACGTAATTATTTGTTAATTAAAAGAATTATCCTGAAGGAAAAAAAAACACATTTAAGATCTTGCCATTTCGGAGAGAATGTACCGTAAACAAATTAATGTATTATGCATCACCTATTTCACTTCCGGTGATACATCAATGCCTGATGACTAACAGTGCTCTGTAGCCAAAGTACTAACCAATCACATCCTAATCCTCCTATTTCAAAGAAAAATCTCTTTAAATCAAAATTAACAACGTCTAAATGCAAATAAAAAATTAAAACAATATAAAGGAAATGCAAAACTAATCGAAGTTTAGGTAGGGACTACATTTGTTGGTACTTAGATGGAAGCAATAATTAGGTTCGGAGTTCAAATGGTTGAAAGGAGATCGTCATCGTTTATTTCATCTACTCCTTTCACACATGCAAAATAGTCTTCGTCTGTTTGACTGATTCTCGTTTAATAAAGAGCCACATAGTTAATCTTGCGTCATCAATTTTATTTTTACAAGCCCAAGAGCTGTCAAAGTGAGGTAACCATGACAGCTGTGTGAGTTTTGTGCCATATAAAAACCAAGACATTCATTTTGTCATAACTTCGCAATTTTTTGTCCGATTTTGGCCAAGTTTTCACCATATTCTCAAAAGTGTCAATTAACTATATGTATGAATTGCGTTGTTGTGCTAATTAGTTGGCGTTGCAGGTTTCTGAAGTATATATCTCTGTCTCGCACCTGTCTGTAGAAACGATTTAGAGCAGTGTTACTATTATTTCAGCTATCAAATCTTGTGGAAGGAAAGAGAAGGGCTACCCGAATGCTGTGTTTTGGATTGACCGCCATTTGTTAAAGTCATATGGCATAGTTGGCTACTACACGAAAAGAATGTCTGGTCCTTAAATCCCAAACACATAGCTGGAAATCCTTATATATATATATATATATATATATATATATATATATATATATATATATATATATATATATATATATATATATATATATATATATATATATATATATAGAGAGAGAGAGAGAGAGAGAGAGAGAGAGAGAGAGAGAGAGAGAGAGAGAGAGAGAGAGAGAGAGAGAGAGAGAGAGTCATTAAATTGTCACAATTAGCAGGAAAAATAATTTTCACAAAAGGCAATTGTTATTCATGTTTGGGAAAAAGGTAAGATCTAAATCAACATGAATATGTTGGTGTTAAAGTGTATTCCCTCGACTAGTGTAAGTAAAATAAACTACCTGGTTTGTTTGACTGACTTTTAGAACCTGTATTTGGTGTAATTTTCTTTGCACAGCTTTAAACATTTTACATAATACGCTAAGGAAGGCAAGAAGACAATGATGAAGTACAAGAAAACAAGTTTTAAAAATAATCAAAATAACACATACATACATACATACATACATACATACATACATACATACATACATACATACATACATACATACATACATACATACATACATACATACATACATACATACATACATACATACATACATACATACATACATACATACATACATACATACATAAACGCACACAATGCTGCCGTATTTATAAAATGTTTGACATTCACTTCGAAGAATCTTTTCGAATTAAATTGTACTGCTTTACGGTTAGCTTTAACAGATACGATGCAGTGGTAATGTGGCAACTGAAAGGTCGAATTAGAATCGCTGCATGGTCGACATACATTCTGAAAGGTGTAACAGCTTTAGATTCTAACAACATAAATTAATCCGCAATTTTAAAAGTTGTATTATGCCCACAGTACAATGCTGGTGAAAATTGAAAACATATTTACTTCAATTTCTTGAATGATGCACTCTAGGCACGTGGCTAGAGCTCCGCGCAGCAAGAGGCTCCGCGGAGGCTAAAAACAAAATTTCGGTGTCGATTGTGTTAGCAGTTTAGTACTACATTAATAAAGATAACAAAATGACACATGCACATGGAAATGCAATGCAATTCTCTATATCTGAGACTGAGAGATTGAGGAGCAATTCTGTTTACTTTTAGGATCAGAGTTTGTGCCTAGGGCCCCCGAACTTCTTAAAACTGTTCTGTATACTGAATTATATCTATTACGATAGAATAAAGAGTGCAAGTGTAAAGTGAAAGAAAATAGTATTATTTTACTTTCTGAGATTTGGCCATTTTTTTGGGTGGTCCTCCACAAGTTAACAAATTGACCCAAAAAGTTGCAATTCAGCTTGGAAATGCATATGTTTCTCATAAAACTATTTGACGCGTGTTTTAAATATCTCTTTTAACGCCAAGAATCTCTTTCAAAAGTTTAGGACTGAAATGTATGTATATTAATAAAGCATCTGTATAGAAAGATTTTATATGACGTCATATGCTTCCATAAGATTTTATATGACGTCATATGCTTCCATAAGATTTTATATGACGTCATATGCTTCCATAATTTCTTGCCTTGAAGGTTCTGTCCGTTATCATTTGAGGCATCGTTCCAAAATAAAATGTAAATAATGTTCCCGTCAGTTACAATTAATCAAAAGATCAGTCACATTCGTGTCAAGGGATAATAAATGATGATAATGTTTTCTTGTATTAATTTTTGCTTTATTTTGTTAATCTACTTAACTCTCCCAACAATAGACCCTCCTCAGAATGTATAACCTCATAAATATTCTGCTTTTGAAATGGCAGTGACACCTGATATTGCATTTGGAGTTATTACTGAAATTTGAAAACATCACTGATTTTGTTGGCAAATGACAAATATAACATACGGAGATAATTTACTTGAAGCTGTCGATTCTATTTTCACATTAAACTCAATTTTTGTTAAGCGATATAAACATTTTGCTTTTCTATCATATCTGTATGAAACTGATGGCAAAGAAGCAACTATCAAATGCGAATGCTGCTAATGTTATTGGCAAGGGTACGAAAAACTGTTATTAATGCTGATGTTATTGGCAAGGGTACGAAAAACTGTTGTTAATGTTGCCAATGGGGTCAATTGTTAACATCTTCATTCATATTTTGGGAACAGTCAATATTTACATGGAGGTGTGTGTAATGCTAAACTATAATAATTGTTAATTCAGATGCTTCGTTTCGCTGTTAATTGTAATCGTATACCCTATTATAGAACGCGTAACTTTTCTCACACATTTTACCATTTCCTACTGTTTTGGCGTGGGGAAAAAAATCACACCATATATAAAAGTGACACATCACCTCTACCATCATGAATAATGACTATTTACCAACGTCCCTTTGATACAAAGTGAAACTATTGAAGGAAAAAAGTACTACTTAATATTTTCTTGATATGAAGATATATAATATTTTCTAGATAAGATATTTAATATTGGCATATTCTTGTTCATATGCTTGTAACTTTTATTGTCATAAAGATAACACTCGTGTTATATCCCGTTGTGTCCGCATTTCCGGCTATGTCGGTACTCTTTCGTCTGTTTATTATGTCAGCAAATTTTTTACCGATACGTCCGCTCATTCGGTTATGCCCGCAAACTGTTAAAGTGATGTCCGAACATCCGTACATTCCGTCGGCAAATTATATATATATATATATATATATATATATATATATATATATATATATATATATATATATATATATATATATATATATATATATATATATATATATATATATATCCTAATGTTCAGTTAATTCGGCAGATATTTTCTGCGATATGTCCTCACGCAACATGATATTCTTATATCTCCGCTATA